TGCCTTATCTTTCCACTTAATGTGCAAGGCTAACGGCAGGGCACTGAAATCCTGTGCAAACAGAAAAGTTTCCTAAAGCAGATGGCAAGCATTCTCTTTATCAGATGGGTAACTGTTTCTGTTTCTTTCCCAAATTATACTTCACATATTAAATTTAAATATTGACTAAGTTCTGGTTTTAAACAAGCATTAAGGGAAAAATACTAGATGCAAAGGACTGATGGAATATCCAGATGGTGAAATATACAAAACAATATTTCTAAACCTGAAAAATGTGTTATTAGTGCACTAACAGAGCAATTGTCAACTGACAGTCTTTGGATACAACAATTTTATCTGGCCCTTGGTGGTACTATCAGATTTTAATCAAAATACTGTATGATAAAAAAAAAATTGGCTAGAAGCATCTCTTTGAAAAAGACATTTCTAATATCAAAAGTAGGGTTATGTTTTTTTAAACATACATTCTTAGCCTAAGATCTTTCCAAAGTTCACTGATATTTATATTCAATTACACTTCAGGCAGCTGTTATTTTTAGTCAGCAAATGTTAAAATCAACATTATGAAGTTTGGAAATGAATTTAAGCCTTATAACCACAATTCTCTGGCAATGGACTCAGTCACTTCAAAACCAATAAGATGGTGATGGAATGGATTACAAAGAACATGAAATGACCAAAAGCATCCTGGCAATTTAATGCATTTTATGTGCAACATTTATGTGCAACATTATGTGAGATTATGTTAACAGAATAGAAATAGAATAACAAGGCCAAACCAGCCTTTCTCTAGTTGATTGGAGGGGAGAAAAAACACTGAAATAATGAGCGCTTTTATTCTGATGCCTTTGTGCATTGGAATTTAAGAGAATGTCAAGAAAATTTAATCCCATTACTCTTAGTAATTCACTTACTAAATAATGTCATATTCTTAATTTAACTTATTTTATTGGAAATTGTTTCTCAAGGAAAACTAACTGCAGGAGACCCTGAATTAACCCTGGTGACTCCTACATAGAGGCTGGCAGAGGAAATTATTGTAGGGAAATCATTACATGGTTGCTTGTGTCAACTTTGCTTAGGTGAGAGTTATATAAAGGTGCCAGAAATATGGGATACTAATTTGAAAACTCCCCTTATTTAATGACTAAATAGTACTTAGGTTATTTGGGATTGTCACATTATGCGCTATTTAAAATAAATTCTAATGTAAGTATATTTACAATTTATATTATTGTATGGGATTTGAAAACTAAAAGGTGATTCAGAGTGCATGGAATGCTCTTGTAGCAACTGTCATAAGCTTTTGAAAGCAGCTACCATATATGCTGGCGTATAAGGCGACCCGGCGTATAAAACGACTCCCGTCTTTGGCGCCGAGTCGCATGCCTAGAACGTCATCTTATACACCGGAAACTACCAGTATTTCCAGCGTATAAGACGACTCAGCGTATAAGACCCCCAACTTTGGCGCCGATTTTAACGCTTGCAGAAGTCGCCTTATATGCCGGCATATACGGTATATCTTTTCCCAGGATCAAGCAACTGTCCTCTATAGTTATAACATGATCTCAGGAAAATAAATGTTTGGTTTAAGTCAGTGTTTCTCAACCCTACCACTTTCAGCTGGCTGGGGAATTCTGGGAGTTGAAGCCCACCCAGCTTAAAATGGCTAAGATTGAGAAAGACTGGTTTAGGTAATTGCAGAGTGTTCCTACATGGATATCCACACATGCTTCAGTGATCTACTTGCCTATCCAAAGTATGCACCAGCTTTAGGTATAGACACAAGCCACATATCTAATCACGAGGGAACATGAAATAGATACAATTCTAAAACTTGCATGGGGCAGAAAGACTTGCTGTATGTCAAAGAAAGTGATTCTTGAACTACTCTGCCAGCAGTCAATTATAAGCTCAAAAAAAAAAAAAAATCTCAAACAAGCCAAGAGCCAGAATACTTTGAACAGAACTGGGACCAAGTTTTTCGTTCAGTTAAAGTGTTCAACATTCTGCCTGCAGCATTTAGTATCACTTGCAAACTCATTTCAAAGAAATGAGGTCATTTGCTCTTTGACTGGGAGAAATAGCAATTTTAGAATTTTACTTCAGTGCCATCATATAGATACAAGGTATTTCACACAGTAGCCGTGGTTCAGAACAAGGCCTGAGGTGTCTTCTACTAGTATTATCAATTTGCTTGCACTTCTAGATGCTACTTATGCAACAATGGTACTTGAAGTAGGGAAGTAGGATACGTGGTGGCATGGGGCAGCTGGCAAGGAAAGAGAAAAATAGAAGACACCAATGGTCAGCATCTCTACCACATTTCCTGGAAGAGGTCACTAGTAAAGGAGCCAAAAATAAAGCTGCCAATACCTTAATGCTTTTAGCAGAGTTATGACTCACTGAACACTGTGGATAATGCTGCATGTCATCTTTGTTAGTATTTTTGCTGCCATTAGGTTTCTTCCAATTTTTGTAATCGTGGATCTGCTTTGATCATTATTGGTGCAACACCATATTCACTGTTACAATTTAAATGCAGTGTTAACATTATAGTGCGTGAATAGAAGATGAATGAGAAACTTGAGGAAGACAAGTGAATGGGCACAAGGGAAGTCAGCTGGAAAGCTCAACAACAGAGCTACTATGAGCTACATAGGTTGCCAAGGAGTAGCAAGAGCATTGATTATTTCTACCCTAGTCATGACTAGGAGGTCTTTTACCTAGCAGTGAAGGCACAATTCCTGGGACACATTAAATGTAAATCCCTAGCCAAAGATGCAGCATGCCTTCCCTGTGAAGTCTGATTGGGTAATCCGATATATGCAGCAAAAGATAGTCCCTCAAATAGTGTGAGTCCCATGCCATGAAAGACGTTAAGGTTAAAACCAGTACCTTGAACTGGACCCGGAAGCAAATTGGCAAACAGTGCAGCTTGTGGAGTAGAGGTGTAACATGTGCTGCCCTAGGAGCGTACATAATTGCCTGTGCTGCTGCATTCACAACCCGCAGAAGCTTCCAGACACTCTTCAAGGGAAGCCCCATATAGAGCGCATTGGAGCAATCCAATCTGGAGGTGACTAGGACAAGAATGACTGTAAATAGGGCCTGCCAATCTAGGAACGGGTGCAACTGGCACGCAAGACGAACTTGTGTGCAAAGGCCCTCCTAGCCATGACTGCCACCTGCTCCTCAAACAGCAATCGTGATTCTAGAAAGACCCTCAGATTGTGCACTGGGTCTGAGCAATCCCATTCAGCTCCAAAGATGGCATAGTCCTCAAGTCTGTGGTCCCCCCAAAATCAAAGCCCCCCCAGTCTTTCCAAGATTCAGGTGAAACCTGTTGTCCCCCATCCAGACCCTCACAGCCTCCAGGGATGGGGACAAGACATTCGTGGCATCACTTAATTTGCCACAGTAGAGATGCATAATTCTAGATACTTTTTTGGCATAATCATATAAAGCAGCAGTCTCCAACCTTTCCAGCTTTTCAAACCACCAACAGCGGCGGCGGGGGGGACAGGGGGAGAGGGGATGGTTGTGTGTGCACAGCAGGCGAGAGCACTTGTGGGCACAACTCCATTTGTGCGAGCAGTAGGTATGTTTGTGGGCTGTGCACCAAGCGTGAGCTCTTGTCTCTCATACAAGTGGAGCTGCACACACAAGTGTGCTCACTCCACCACTTGTGTGGCCACAGCCCGGAGGTTGGGGACCCTTGGTATAAAGAATAAGATGAACTTATTCTTGTTAATCTTTTTCTCCTTCCTTTATTCCAAATTTAGGCAAGAAAATTCTACATTTAGACAAGAAAAACCAAATGCACAGATACAGTATAGGGGGTACCTTGCTCAATAGTAGCAACTGTGAGAGGGATCTCGGAGTCCTAGTGGACAATCACTTAAATATGAGCCAGCCGTGTGCTGCAGCTGCCAAAAAAGCCAACACAGTGCTAGGCTGCATTAACAAAGGGATAGAATCAAGATCACGTGAAGTGTTTGATGTTATTACAAATCTCGCTGCAGAATGGAGGTGGTTCCTAGTAAGGCCGCCTTTTGCAATTGACTAATGGCAAATTTGTCAATGCCAATGGTGTTCAAGTGGTGCTCCAGTTGTTTTGGTACTACCCTTGCTTGCTATTGCCACAGTCTTTCTATTTCTATTTGTAGGTCTTTGTATTTTGTTATCTTCTCCAGTTCTTTCTCATCTATTCTACTGTCTCCAGGCACTGCCGAATAGATGAGAAAGATTATTATTATATTATTATTATTATTATTATTGATTTCTTCATTTTTAAAAATCTTTTTTCTCTAACTTTTTTACATTTTTTTAGGTTTATGTTTTATCTAAAAAATTTCAATATTTTTTTAAAAAAACTTGAATTGCTAAGATAATAGCAGTTATTTTATTAACCAAAACCTGAAGCAGAGAACTTCTTTTAAAATCTCCCTTTTCCAATTGAAGTCAGTGAGAGAAAAATTTCCTCCAGCAGGCCTGGTATAAAACTGCATGTTCACTGAGGGCATGATTATACATGGAAAATATACAGTTAACTGTATTCCTTCCAGGCCTATGCGTATACTTGGATAGCATCCTCTAGCTTTATTGGTTTTACCCTTTTTAGATGGGATATTACTAAAAATAGTCTTTGACTTACGACTATAGTTGAGCATGGAATTATGGTTGTTAAGTCATGTAGATTGTTAAGCGGGTCTCCAAATAACTGTGCCTGATTTTACAATCTTTTTTGCAGTGGTAATTTCAAACTATCACTAAGTGACCGGGATCCTCGTTGTGCAATGGCCTACCCTGAGATTTAAACATTCTGCTAAATCCTATGCCCAAATCACTTCCAAGTTTTAGCACCATGAATTCCAGCCAACATAACTAATGATAGAATGAAACCGATTGAGGTGGTTGTTGTAGACTTGCAGTCACATATATGATTGATATGAAATACTGATCACAAAATATGTAAGTACAAGTATATACTGTACCTTGTTTTACCTGTAAGGAACACACACCTGACAAAAGGCAATCTTCACATCCAGAGTAGGCTCACTGCAGTAATGTAAGAAATGGCGGCTCATAAATATCTGAAATTCAAAGAACAATGGCATAAATGTATTTCATCCAAACTGGATTTATTTATAATGCTGTCTCGATATATTTAATATCTATGATACTGGTTCAATAGTAAAGAAAATACAAATCCAATTCTTCAAGGCCAAACCTTTGTTTTCCTATAGGAAAAATATTTTCAGTTTATGAACACAAGTATCAGTGAAGGAGAATATTTGCAAGAAAACAAAATAACAGCATAGCCGAGTTGGAAGGGACTTTGGAGGTCTTCAAATCCAACTCTTTACTCAAGCAGGAAACCCTATGCCATTTCAGACAAGGTTCTTACAAACCTCCTGTGTTGGAGCACCCATAACTTCTGGAGGCAAGTTGTTCCACTGATTAATTGTTAGGAAATTCCTCCTTAGTTCTAGGTTGCTTCTCTCTTTGATTAGTTTCCATCCATTGCTTCTTGTCCTTCAGGTGCAACCAACAACCAAGTTCACAGCACAAGCATGTTCAGCTAACCAGTTCTGGCAATCTGACTATTCCTAATTTAGCGAGCAAGACTGACAGTATAATTGCCTAGATGGCAATGACCAGGATGCACAGCAAAGGGAGGATTCAGGGCCTCCATAGAGAACAAAAAAGCTACCAAACAATAAAGAGCCAGAGTAGAAATTAAAATTGGCTTGTGGACTTGGAAAGAATTGTTTCGTGTTGGACATCAGAAAATGATAAGATACAGCTTTTTGAAACATGTGGAGCATTTTCCAGAGCTGCCCCTGGATGTTTACTACTGCTTAGCATGATTCTTTCATAAGGAGACTGGCTGAGATATGACTAGCTAGGTAGGAGTATGTGAATAATTTGTAACGCTACTGAGGGAACCCATGTCTCTGTTTGCACGCACAGACGACAATTCTGCCAGAAACCACCCTTCCACGTTATTTGCTCAGCCATATTAGCTAGTACAGTCACAAACCTACAAATCTTACTCTATGCAGCATTAACATGCGTCCCTTAGTTGTTTGAAATATTATTGGTATTTTTTTTGCCCTCATACGTATCAAGCTTACTTATACCTTGTTTATGCAAAAAGTAAAGATAAAAAAGCACAGCAGCACACCCAGTTCCATGCACTAATCCAATAATAATTCAGCGATGTTATTAAATTTCCATGCTTGAATTAAATATAAAAGAAAACAAAGAATATGTGCTTTAAAATAGGCCCGGGTAGATTCTTCTACAAGACAACAAAAATCAACAGATTATACTGCAGCAAAAGGTTCTGAACAAGCAGGAGCAATCGTTCAGGAGTAGAGTACCGATTTGCATGTGGAAGATCCCAGGTTCTACCCATTTGCATTAATATCTAAAATAAAGATGGGTAGATAATAACCATCAAGATATATGATGAAAAAACCCTTGCTACAGGTAGTCCTTGTGGCATCACCATTTGCTCGGCAACCAAAGTTATGAGGGTGCTGAATGAGGAGGACTTACAACTGATCTGCAGCTGTTACAGCATTCGGTATATAAGTAAAGTGCTATTCCCACAGTCATGTGATCATGTAAAGATTTTATATGGCTCACAATTACAACATTGCAGCAAACAGCAGTTATGTGATCATCAATGGGGAAGCCAGCAGGGAAGATTGCAAGTCACTCCCCTAAACGTTGAGACTCTAGAAGACTCTAGAAAGAGTACAGAGAAGAGCAACAAAGATGATTAGGGGGCTGGAGGCTAAAACATATAAAGAACGGTTGCTGGAATTGGGTATGTCTAGTTTAACAAAGAGAAGGATGAGGGGGGACATGATAGCAGTGTTCCAGTATCTCAGGGGCTGCCACAAAGAAGAGGGAGTCAAGCTATTCTTCAAGGCGCCTGAAGGCAGGACAAGAAGCAACGGGTGGAAACTAATCAAGGAGAGAAGCAACCTAAAACTAAGGAGAAACTTCCTGACAGTTATAACAATTAACCAGTGGAACAACCTGCCTCCAGAAGTGGTGAATGCTCCAACACTGGAAGTTTTTAAGAAGAGACTGGACAGCCATTTGTCTGAAATGGTATAGGGTTTCCTGCCTCAGCAGGGGATTGGATTAGATGACCTTCAAGGTCCCTTCCAACTTATTATTATTATTATTATTATTATTATTATTATTATTATTATTAAATCCTTCCTCCTCCGCCATGCTAAGACATACAAGATCTCATACTTCCTAGCACCCATCAGCTGGCCCACCTGTGCTCAGTAGCACCTGTCCACAACCCTGCCAGTCTGCCTGTGGTCCCTGCTTCCACCTCTGCTCAGTACGGGTAGTCCTCGGCTTACAACAGTTCATTTAGTGACCGTTCAAAATTACAGAGGCACTGAAAAAAAGTGACTTATGCCCATTTTTCACATTTACAACCTTGGAATCATCCTCAAAATCATGGGATCAAAATTCAGATGCTTAGCAACTGGTTCATACTTGTGACCATTGCTGTGTCCCAAGGTCACGTGATCACCTTTGGCAACCTTCTGACGCGTAAAGTCATTGGGGAAGCCAGATTTGCTTAACATCCGGATTACTAACTTATCAGCTGCAGTAATTCATTTAACAACTGTGACAAGAAAGTTCGTAAAAAGGGGACAAATCTCACTTAACAAATATCTCGCTTAGCAATAGAGATTTTGGGCTCAATTGTGGTCGAGGACTACCTCTAGCACCCACCTCATAGGTCACATGACCTATGCCAGGGGTAGGCAACCTTGGCTCTTTTATGACTCGTGGACTTCAACTCCCAGAATTCCTGAGCCAGCCATGCTGAGGGGAAAGGGAGAGGTTTCCATGCTGAGCCATGCAGGCTCAGGAATTCTAGGAGTTGAAGTCCACAAGTCATAAAAGAGCCAAGGTTGCCTACCCCTGAGTCCTACGCAAACCATCATTTCAATTGCTTATAAGCTGCATTGAAAAATTATGAGCTGTTCAGCATCTCTTGAGTCTGAGATTCTATTTCACAGTTTTCCTAGTAGACTTTAAAGCGCTCAATTCCTTACGCCACTGAATCAGGAAGTAGGTAGGGAGCAAAATCTCTCGCCGTGAGCTCAGTCTAAAGTGCCTCATGCATTCGATTTTTAATGAATGAGTTACACTCTTATTCCCCCCCAAAAATCAAGTACATGACCTTTCTAACGTCGTATTGTGATAGCTCAGCTTGCTGTCTCATAGCTCAGTGACTCACTACAGAAGCTTTCTGTTCCTCAGATGGTTTGATTTGGCTTCGCCCCCGCCTCTTCCTCCCTTGTTTTAAAAAGCTTTCAATATTAATCAAAATTGCAATGATTTCTAGAATCCCAGAAGATAATGATGTCCCCTCAGCATCTAAGTCCCATTAAGCAAGCAATGCTGCCGGAGCATTGCTGTAATATCAAAGGATGCTTTTTCCCATGACACCTTTCAAACACCCTGGATTTGAAGCAGAGTAGGTGAGGGAAGAAGGTACGTCCGTTGCTCATTGAGTTTTCTTCTGCATCAATACATTTGATGTGCACTGATTGTAACTTTCCTGCAGTTTCCTTTCCTGCTCAGCCAGAAAATATCTCCGTGCATACATTATTTCTGATAATGCCTTTTAATATTTCTATTTATATGCAGGGATAAGAATACATTTTATTCCGATTACTTTTGATAACTGGAGAAAATGTTCTATAGGTAGTCCTCAATTTACAACAGTTCACATAGTGACTGATTGTAGTTACAACACTGAAAAAAGTGATTTATGACTGTTTTTCACACTTACGACCCTTGTAGCATCCCCATGGTCATGTGAGCAAAATTCAGATACTTGGCGACTGGTTCGTATTTATGACTGTTGCAGAATCACGTAATCCCCTTTTGTGACCTTCTGGCAAGCAAAGTCAATGGGGTAGCCAGATTTACTTAACAACCGTGTTTCCGACTTTAACAATTGCAGGGATTCACTTAAGAACTGTGGCAAGAACGGTCGTAAAATGGGGCAAAACTCACTTAACATCTGTCTCGCTTAGCAACAAAGACTTAGGGCTTAATTATGGTTGTAAGTCAAGGACTACCTGTAAGTTCTTCTTCAATGGAATGAGGGCAAATGGTTTTTAACCACTGGGAAAGTCCAAGTTAAAGAAACAGATTCACCCACCTAGTAGGGATAGTCTGCCTATGAATACTTATGCAATTAAAAGATCTGGACAGAAATTGCTTTTTAAAACTCTCCACCAATTTTTCTGAAATTTTCTTTTCTCCTAATTTCTCAAGGGCAGAACTCTTCCTTAGCAACAACAGTGGCAATGCTATGAAATACATTTCAAGGGACATTTCCCCTTGAGATTTAATTGAATCATGGGAAGGTAGTAGATTATAGAGTGATGGAGAGATTAGCATATCATAAAAGGTTGAACCTTCCTAGAAATGATTTTGCCTGTCTTACAACTAAGTGTAAGCAAAGCAACATGACATCTATGAAAAATTCACCAAAATTTTCTTCTGTGTTGAATGAATTTCTAAATCAAGTTCTCTCAACATAAAATGAATGCAGAATTTCTCTTTCCAAAATTAGTAATTGATCACCTTTGCAGATTAGTTTTAAAAAAAACTAATAAGTAATAATTTTTGTGTGTGTTACTTGGCACCTTTGTGGAGACCAACTGGATTTTTCCCCTCTGTTTTAAGAATTGAAATTACTACCCTTTGGAAAGTAACTGTTACAGAGCCTTAAGTATGACATCCATTGTGAAAGACATATCTTTATGTACTTGCGTTCATTGGAAATGGAATTATGCAGAAATGCTTTCTGAAGAACTCATTCCTTACCCAATGTCAAATTAGCATTTCAGGAATCAGAAAAAGGTGGAATAGAAATCCATCAAATAAATGAATCAACAAACTCTTACAGCCCAAGAAAACAATGTAAAGTTATCCCATGTGTCTGGTAAATAAATACTGATAAATGAATAAGGGTGTAGCATCTGAAACAACAAATCCAAACATGGATTACTCAGTATTAATCAGTATT